CTCTCTTCCTCCTCCCCTGCAGCCAATCGAGGTTCTTGCTGATCCTACTGAACTCTTACCTGTCCAGTTCACTCCACCAAGTCCAGTCACCATATCCCCATGGGAACTAAAACCAGAGCCTCTTAGGGGTCTCCCGCCTCCAAGCGCGCCCGCCCCACCCCAATAAGACTATTCTCAGCAGTCCACACACTAGCTTTGATGGTTTTTTAATCTTATATTTCCTTTTTATTACTTTAAGTTTTTACTGCGTGTGGGTGAGTGTGTGTACACGTGTGGTACTGGAGAATGAACCCAGGGCCTTCACACTAAGCTACATCCCCAGCCCCTTTTTCTGTTCTTTTGCTATAGGGTCTTACTAAGTCACTAAGTTTCCTGGACTGGACTCTAAACTTGCAATCCTTCTGCCTCAGCCTCCCTACTTTTTTGGGGGGGGGGGCTCCCTACTTTTATTTTTAACTTTTTTTTCCAGTACTGGAGATTGAAGCCAGAGCCTCATGCATGCCAGCCAAGCATGCTACCACTGAGCTACGTGCCCAGCCCTTTCTAAAAGAATAACTTTTATTTTTATTTTTTATTTATGTTTTGCTACCAAGGATTGAACTCACGACCTTGAGCTTGCGAGGCAGATGCCCTGCCACTGAGCTAAATCCCTGGCCCAAAACTTTTTTTTTTAAATGATGTGAAATAAGTGTACACTTTATGGGTAGAGAATGATATTTTGATGTATGTATGCCATGTGTAATGCTCAAATCAGGATAATCGGCATATCCATCACCTCAATCATCCAGTTTCTCCTCTTGGTGATGCTGAAACTCCAGCCTGATAGGCCACTGTGCAATTTCAAACCCTTTAAGGCCTTTCTTGGCCCAGGATAGAATTCAAGCTCCCTCTCAAGGCTTGAAGGCTCCCTATAACCTGGCCCCACTCACCTGCCCGCCATCATGACTTCCTCCCGGCATCCTCTTCCCACACCCCAACTACATCCCCTTTCTCCAGTCCTGCCCAGAGTCACTTTCAGTTCCCACAGTCTCCCAGCTTTCTCTAGGCTGGGCTTCTCACAGTCTGTTTCCTCTACTTAAGAGGTAAATATGCCATACTCTGGCCTCAGCCCTCCCCCCTAAATCTAACTCCTCTTCAACCTTTAGAGCTCTGCTTGCTCCCAACCCGCTCGATGTCAGATGTGCCGAGTTTGTGTCTCCCAAATATGGAAGAATGAATTTTGAGGCCAAAGGAAGTTAAGAGTAGGAAAGGTTTATTGAGAGAAAGCTCCTGAGAGAGATGAGGGGTCCTGGAAGAGGTAGCCACAGAGGCTCTTTCTCCAAGAAGAGCAAAATCACAAGGTGGGTACAACATGGGTCAAACTGCTGTATAATTCACCTATAGGACTACAGGTATAGTCACTTAGCTAATATGGACCTGACAGGGAAGTGAGGCATGCAGCAAAGGGTTATGGCAGCAACATTAGCTTTAGCTTATCCATAACTTTTAACATAGAAAGATCAGAAGGATTCTTGGAAAAGGACAGAAAGGGATGGGAGGATCAGTCTGGATGTTCTGGTTATCTGCTGATGCCTATCTGGACTTACTGGACAGAGTGTACAAATTACAGTATAATTACTCCTGTTGCTCTTTATCTCTTAAGAGAGGCTTGCGGCCCTAGCTATTGCATCATCATCTTGTGGCCTGGCTTTTTTCAGATGTGCCTGCAGCAAGTGTTGAAATGTTCCCATCGTCTACAGGGACCCCCTGGATGGCCTATCTAAATTTCTATCTAATTTAGCTGTCAGTTATACTTTCTCAGCCTCTGTCGTATCAGGACCGGTTCCCAAGCACCAAGCGGCCTCTGCCCCACTGTAGACCTTTGGCCCCTGAGTTCATGGCCTGTCCCTGGGTCTCGCTCCTGCAGCCTGGCACTGGGCACACAGCCCTGCGTGTCTCCCTCGCCATCTATGAAGGGCGCTTCTGGAGCAAGCAAGTGGGAGGTGGAGGCAGCTGACCCTGAATTTAGATCTGCTGCTTGGCTGGGTTATTTTTTTCCCCTGGTACTGGGGATCGAAACTTAGGACCTTGTGCTTGCGAGGCAGGCGGGGGTGCCACTGAGCTACATCCCTGGCCCCGGATTAAATTGTTTTTTGTAGCTTATTTGCCTTCCACTCTTCCCCTGGAGATCCTCGTGGAAACACCTTTGTAAGGAGCATCACATTAGATGTACACTTAGTTACAGAGGTGGCATTACAACCCTGTCTCAAAAAAAAAAAACAAAGGTGGCATTACAACTTTATAATTTTCGAGCTTAGAGGTTAAATCCAATTTCCTCATTTCCCTTGCAAGTGCAAGGTCCCGAGTTCGATCTCCAGTACCAAAAAAAAAAGAGTTGCCAGTGCCAATTTCCTCATTTCAAATGGAGAAAAACTGAAGCCCCAAAAGCTGATGTGGTTAGCAGCAGGCTGTTGTAGCTGTCAAACTGGGACTATGCTTCTGACTTGTCTTGTTAACTGACACTTCATAATTGTACATTATTTTGGGGGTAAAATGTGGATAATCTGATACATGTATCCAATGGGTACTGATCAAATAAGGACTAGCATTGCCCTCTCCTTAAACATAGCTGAATAATGGGAAGCTCCAAACTCCTCTCTTCTAGCTCTTTATAGACTAGCTAATAAATTATGAAATAAAGTCACACTACTGTGTTGTACATTAGAACTTGCTTTTTGCAGTACTGGGGACTGAACCCAGGGTCTTCATACTGACCTAATGTCTCAATCGCAATCCTCCTGCCTCAACCTTCCAGAGAGCCACAGGGCCTGACTAGAACATTTTTCTCCTGTGTAACTAACTGTATTTTGGTTCCAATTTCTTGAATCCAATGCTCTTTTCCCTAGCCTATATCATGCTGTCAAGGATTAAAGATCACATCAAATTCTTTAACACCCTTTCCATTAAGAGGTGGTCTCTATATCCCCCTCCTGTCAATCTGAGTGGGATTTATGATTGTTTTGACCAGTGATGGCGAACCTTTTAGAGCTTTCAATAACAATCAGCCTGATGCAGCAATCGAGCCACTAGTTTAGATCAATAAAATACAGCAAAAGAGTTAACTAAGCTGGGATCTAAACTGAAAATGTGGGACCACCTTTAAAATATTAAGAATCTAAGTCTTGGCATAGTGGGGCACATCTATAATCCCAGTACCTGGGAGGCTGAGGCAGGAGGATCACACATTTGAGGCCAGCCTGGGAATTAATTTAGTGAACCCGTCTCAAAAGGGCACAGAGCCCTCTGGGCACACACAAGCCAAGTTGCCCCAACAGCTAAGCATCAAGTAACAGCTGTTTTTTCTAAACTAAAACATCAGTATTCAGTGTTGGCACTTTGTGGTAAGTGGGTTTTGGGTTGCAGTTTGGGTATTTGGTCTCTAAAAAGTTCACCATCATTGTTCTGGAAATATTCGTTAAATTTTTTCAGTGTTCCTGTTAGATGAACATCCTTATCTTCTTGGGACACTTTACAGTTTCCTAATAGGGCTGAGTTTGGAACTTCTACTTCCTCAATAACTAGGGAGTCAGGGCACATTGTTCCCCATTCACTTTCAGTTTCCAGTGTGGGCCTGGAAGCCAACACCATCATGAACCCTTTATAAACTGCCTGCTGAAACAAACTATTTCCTCCCCAGTTCTTTCCAAAAATTTGTAAAGGGAGGCTGGGGATGTAGCTCAGTAGACAGCAATTACCTGGCATGCACTAGGTCCTAGGTTCCATCTTCAGTACCAAAAAATTCCCCCAAAAAACAAACAAACAAAAAACCCTACATGGGCTGGGGATTTGGCTCAGTCGTTTTATAAGGACCCAAGTTTGATCCCCGGTACCAAAAATAAAACAAAACAAAAAACCCTACATCATTTCCTCTATGGTTTTTTACTCCTTTTTTCTGCAGTACTGGGGAAATAACCCAGGTCCTAGCACATGTTAAGCAAGTGCTCAAGCACTGAGCTACAGCCTGGTTACTTTATTTTTTAAATCTTTTGAGTCATGGCCACAGTGATAACAGGAAAAGTTGTATCTACTTAGTACTGTTTGGAACCCAACCAAATACTTGTCTGAGAAAACCTGCAGAGGCAGGTGCCAGGCCATGATGCATAAGGCAGTCATGAAGGCTCCTGCTGCAAGTAGCAGCTCCAGCTAAGAATGTGGAAGCCATCCTGGGTCTCTGGAAGAGGTAGCATTGGATTCCAGCTTGGACTCCTGACCTACAGCCCCAAACCAAGAATTTGGTCTTTGGTCAAAAGGATGTCTTTTTCTATACCTGAGGTCACAAGCTAATTTGTTTCAGCATCTGTCCCTTGCTTACTGGATATGCCATCTTTCTCAGGTTGCAGTAGTCTTGGAAGCCTTTGATAATACCCACAGAAAAGCAAACTTAAAAATCAACATAAAGGACTGTAGAAAGCATACGATCAGAAACAAAAACCAATGAGGACAAAGACCAGAGATAGGAGGGTCCTTCCTTCAGCTTTTCTTTTTGCAGTGCTGGTGACTGAACCAAGGGACTCATGCCTGCTAGGCAAGCTCTCTACCACTGAGCTATATACCTCCTTTTTGAGTCAAGGTCTTGCTGAGTTACCCAGGTTGGCCTTGAACTTGCATGTGCAACCATGTCCAGAAAATTCCTTTTTGCATATAAAAAAAAAGGATATCACAGGATATTCTATACCTGAAAGTTAGTTTTAATTATGATAAAAAAAAAAACTTAGCTGGGCATGGCGGCCCACACCTGTAATCCCAGCACTAGGGAGGCTGAGGCAGGATTGTGCGAGTGACAGTTGAGTTCAGGGCCAGCCTGGACAACACAGGGAGACCCCATCTAGACAAACCAAAAAAACCACAAAACCCCAGTCCCCGAATCAAGCACACTTCAATACCAGGTAGCCAGAGAATAATTCTGTCATTGCAGAAAGTGGTATTATTATGCCTGGTGGGGGAGAAGAAATTAAGAGCAGTTCAAAAGGTTTCAAAACATTTATTGTTGACTCAGTGTGATCACAGAACAAGATTCCTGATTAAGCACATTCAACTGTCCAGCCAATCGTATTTAAGCTTGATATGGTAATCTCGACCATGATAAAGAATGTATCATTTTTTGACTCTTGGTAGAGAAATATGCTGCATTTCATGTTCAATTCTTTACAGTCCCAGCTTGGTCCTCCTCCAGTGTCTCCTCTTGGAGTTGTACCTACACAGAAAGAAGCCACAGGTAACAAATCAGCCTGGCCACAACTTAGCTGTTTTCCTTCACGTGGCCTTTTAGGCAGAACAAAATTCAAAGGGTTCCCATTTTTCCTTCTTTTAAGAAGTTTGGAGATTTCTAAAGAGTAAAGAAATGATTTACTACATGTGCTTTGTAAAGAATTAGTTAAACCAAACTTTAACCTCTGGAGATGACTCAAGTCTAGGTTCCTTCATTTCTGTGGTGCTAGGGATTGAACTCAGGGGCTTGTGCAAGCTGGGTTACATCCCCAGTCCTTTTTGCCAGCCTGGCCTTGAACTTATGACTGTCTCAGCCTTGTGAACAAACAATTACAATTCTGTGCCACAGTACCCAGTTAAGGATGGGTTCTCAATTGGACAGAAGTAGTGGGAAAGCCCTCTCCTTCCTTCTCTTTGATTCAAAGACCTAGAGGAGATGCTGCCATATTGTGAATCTAATGGATCACACAAAAAAGCCCCTGCATATTACAATAGATCAATTAACACCTCACTCATGTCTACCCCAGAGCAGCAGTGACTTGCATAGCTAAAGCAATCTGAATTGTCCATGTCAATCTGTCATGATTTTACCCTCATAAAGGCAAAATCAAAAACAATCAACAAGGTTTTTCTTTTAGCAGGATAATGACAGTACTTCCACAAAAATGAAGCACTGTAATTGCAACCTGCTTTCAATCCATATAAACGTGTCAAAAAGGGCTGGGGGTCAGAATTCAATGGCAGTGCTTGCTGAGGATGCACAAGGCCCTGGGTTTGATCCTCAGAGCACAGCAAATAAGTACTTGAAAATTAGCTGACCAAAAAAAAAAAAAAATCTATTATGCGAATTCTCTGGGCCAAAGATATGTATATACAATCCTAATACAAAACTCCTTCCCAACTCTAGATCAAAGAGCAAGGGACTAACTCAACTAGCACTGAATCCTCTTTTGTTCTTTTCTCCCAACCTGGAAGGCAGGTCCCACCCTCATCAGATGGGGATGTGGAAAAAAATGATCTTCACGTGGATACATCAAACAAACCACCTCACTTATTCAAGCCTCTTTTCTCACTACTGTATAATGGTAGGCCACAGCCCAGTGATGGCGAACCTTGCAAGAGCTTTCAATGATAGAGCTAGCCTGCTGCAGCACAGGTGCCATGCGTTTGCTGCCACAGCCATACGCTTTAAAAATCTTAGTGCCTGTGCCGATAGGCCCTAAACACATTAGTACATATAAATAATATAGAGTAGTTATCTAGTACACAGCAGACAAAACAATTAACTTGCCTATGAAGCTACAGTGGGTAGCGATTTTGCACACATCTAACTGGTTACATGAATTAAGGAAACAGGCCCTCCAGTTTAGCCCCAATCATCCACCTCTTCATATCAGCGAATCCGTCACACCAGATTTGACATACAATTCAAAATGAGTTCTACACTAACTTGTAATCTTGCACTCCTTGGCTTCCATGTCTCCTTTAAAGAGGCACCCACTGCCAGGTGTGATGGAGCACACCTGTAATCCCAGCGCTCAGGAGTCTGAGGCAGAAGGATCACCTTGAGTTGAAACCAGAATGAATTAGAATGAGACCTTGTCTCAAAATACAGGAGAAGGACCCACGTGCTAAGTTCATACTTTACAATGTCAGCTCAAAAGTGCTTGGAAAATGACAATTTTGAAAATTTCCGCTTTTTCCCTCCTTGGCTTTTGAAAAACCAGGAAACCTGGTAGTTCACTTTAAACAAACAAAAATTCGGAATCTTTAACACACTGGGACTGTCTATGGCTGCTAGATATCTGGCAAATTCCTTTCATTTTTGATGCTTGTTTCTCCTCCCTTCAAGAATTATCTCAGGCCAGTTGGTCAGAGCAGTAGGCTGAAAAAGTTTGGAGACTAGCTCATCTTGGAGGTTTCTAAAACGTCTCTCCTGAGATCGTCAATTTAGCTACTTCTGCAGTATAGAACAGTCTCTCAATCTTTAGTGAAAGTAACCAAGTGAGTCATCTCTCCCCAGAATGTAGTGTGGCAGCCTTCCACCTGATCTCCACCTTGAAGACAACCAGGAAATTACTAAGGATCAGAGCCGTGGTCTGGATGCAATGGAAAACAAGGAAGCACATTTTAAAAAAAGATCTCAAGACAATGGTGGCAGAGGATGGACTGGATTACATTAACTTTCACAGCGTAATTTATGTTCAAAAAGTAACCCGAAATTTAACAAAAACGAAGTGGAACAATAGGAGGATGTCTTACCTGATTTTATTACCAGTCTTCATCCGAATCCATTGAGGAATGGGACGATTCTGCTTTTGCTTCTTGGCCAGGAATCGCTTGATTCTGAAAGTCTTGTGAGAAGACTGCAAGGAGATGCAACCAATTTAAACTGACGCTAGAGCCTGCTCAAAAGACAGTCACAAACTCCCTCGATCCAAACAAACATTTTAGTGCTTAATAAAACCCGAAAGAAAATCTCAATGCTAAATTATCAAGCCCATTTGATCTCACTCCTCTGTAGGCAGTTACCGTACTTTCCCCCTTGCAGTGAGCTGGGTGTGGCAACACACCCCCATAATCCCAGCACTCAGAGGCCTAAGGATCCTGAGGCTAGCGAACTGCAAGGCCAGCGGGCACTACTACAGTGAGACCCTGTCTCAAATGAAAATAGAATAAGTAGAACGAACGACGTGAATAAACCGTCCAAAAATTAGTACTGACGTGCAGATATAACCTAGCATTTACCTTGTAAAACAAAAGCACCTACTTTCAAAGGTCATTTGGAGGCCAAGATTTATGCAGTCTTCAAGATCCAGTAGACCCAACCCATTTACCATTTTGGTTATTAGTTCTATTTGAAATGTCCCTTTCTCAAGGATGACTTTCCTAATCCTTTTATCAATCTTTTAGCTTTCACGAATTTGGGTTACCTAAGCCCAACTCCCACCGCTTCAAACCCAGTAAAATTAACACCTTGCATAATATGGCCCATCGTAAAGAAAATACAGACTGTAGTATATTCCCTTTCCAGTCCACAGTAACAGTAGTGGATTGTCAAGCAATAAATAACAAAGCTCCAACACTGATCCCCTCCATACCTAGAAGCCACAAAAGTATTTTTCAGCAAACCCTGTCACAGAGCGGTGACTGGGGCGCTGCTGACATTTGCTAAGAACTCCCGAATGACACAGGTGCACACAACGCTCTCGGTGGCAGGAGCTTCCACGGGGCGACGCTCGTATCTCTGAACAAACGACTAAAAACTCCTGTAGTCTCATAATGTTGCTCGTTCCTGGTACGAGCTCCCCTCCCGGTGCCCAGTACACTGTGCCGGCCTCGGACAGCCGGCAGTTGGGCTGCAGTTTCTGGGGCGGTCCTGCGACCTCTCTCCCTGCCCCAGAATCCCAGTTCGCTCCAGTGGAAGGGAAGCAAGAATCCTTGTGCTCCTCTCCTTGGTGGTGGCCCGGGGACGAAAGCGCCCCCTCGAATCGGCGACGGCGGCGAAGCCCGCCACTCTCTCGGGAATCCCTAGCTTCCCGCCAGGCCCGCAGTGACCAAACTCGACCTTTTCTTGAAAAGGCTTTCAAAATAGCCCTGCCCCTCGATGCTCCGCGCGGACCCAGCGAGCCTGCGACAGCTTCTTAGAACGGGAAGCCACCTCGGAGCCGATGGAGGCCGATGGACTCACCATGGCTAGGCTCGGAGGCAAGCACACGCACGCGATGGCGGACAGAAGCAGAAGAGAACGAAGAAGGCGGAAGCACGCATTTAGAAGGCGCCGTAAGGAGGCGGAGCTTAGGAGGTGACGCCGCGCACGGGCCGCGGCCTGGAGATTGCCCTAGTCATCTTTCCCCTTTCCCCTCTGCGCCTGCGCCCTCGGGGGGAGGGGGCGTGGGAACCTGCGCTGGTTGGTGCGAATTGGAATTCGCTTGCGTAAGAGGTTCCCCCAGGCACTCTTCAGTGTGCTAGAGGCCGCCTGGTTCGTGGGTGAGGCAGACAGCCTACTCTAAGTACCAAAGTCTAAACCTTTCCGAAACCCAAAAACTGGGCACGGGGTGGGGGTGGGGGTGGTGAAGGCAGCGTGCGTCACCTCTGAGCGTCGACCGTCGGCCCTGGATTTGGACGGAAGCGCGCGCCCCGAGGGGCGGGGCCCAGGAACGTCCCGCCTGGCCTTTGCCTTAGAGAGGGGTGCTGCAGGACTGGTCTGGACCGGGGTGTCCCTGGAAGCAGGAGGGCTCCACTGGGGCTGGACCACGTGGGCCCTGTAAGCGTCGGGAGGGCCTTGGAGTTTTCCAATAGGTAAAAGGTTGCCAATTAGCTGCTAGGAGGCGGAGACTGACCTTGTCCACCTTTGGCCGGAGGTACAGGAATGAATGGCATGTATTTGGTATGCTAGTATTCCCCAATTTTCATATTTTTCTTTTCCCCACTTAAAAACATGAGCTACACTTGACTCAGGTGTAAGGCTATGGGTTCCATCTCCAGCACCATAAACAAAAAGAAAAAAAACCCACAAAAACCTCTATATCTTTGCAGTTACTGCAAGGATTTTTGCACTGATGGATTGAGGCACAGGCGGTTAATCAGACCTATAAGAGTCCATGTGTAGAATTCAGTCTGTAAACTTGGATGGGAAAAATACAGCTGTAATTAAAACAAAGTGACTGATTTTAAAGCTTGCTTTATTTACAAATGTAGACAAGCCACAGTGGCATCAGTACCTGTGACTTGGTCACCTATAGAAATCATAAATGGTTTCATATTAACATTGCAGTTGATGAAGATATCTTGAACTATCGTTTACACGTTCATCGCGTTATTTATTTTTGAGACAGGGTCTGACTTTGTAGCCCAGGCTGGCCTTGAACTCCTGGCGATCCTCTTGCCTCAGTCTCCTGAGTGCTGGGGTTACAGGTGTGCACCACCACACCCAGCTCATCACGTTTTTAAAAATACAGTTTGGGGGCCAGGGATATAGCTCAGTGGCACTGCACCTGCCTGGCAAGTGCAAGGTCCTGAGTTCGATTCCCAGTACCAAAAATAAATAAATAAATAAAATATGGTATTTTTTAGACCCACAAACAGAACTGTTTAAAATCCATATGCTACTATAGCACACTTTTTTGTTGTTTTGTTTTTTGGATTCTTTTTTTTTTTTTGAGGCAGGGTCTTGCTATGCAATTCAGGTTGGCCTTGGCTGGCCTCAAACTCGCAGCAATCATCCTGCCTCAGCCTCCCAAAGGCTGGGATCACAGGTGTGCACCATCACACGTGGCTAGCACACATTTATTTTTAAAATATTGTAATAACTATTGCAGTGTTAACTTTTTCTTTGGAATCTTTTGTATTAAGAAATTTCTGAAAGCCAGGTGTGATTAGGCACATCTATAATCCAGCTACTCTGAAGGCTGAGGCAAGAGGATTGAAACTTGGAGCCCAGCCTGGGTAATTTAGCAATTTAGCAAGACCCTGCTTCAAAAGATTCTGTGTAATTTTTTTTTTGGTACCAGGGATTGAACTCAGGTCCTTGCGCTTGCGCAGCAGGCGGCGAAACCACAGAGCTATATCCCCGGCCCCTAAATGTTCTTCAGACTTCTTCTTTTTTTGGTACTGGGGATCGAACTTGGGAGCTTGCACTTTCGAGTCAGGCAGCAGAAACATTGAGCTAAATCCCCGGCCCTCAAAAGATTCTGAAAATAAGTCCACAGGCTTCATCAAACTGTCCATGACACAAAAATGGTTACACATCCCTGGACTGTATTAGAGTGACAGACTGTTGAATAAACAGACTTATTTTCTGTGCCAGGTGCTCCATTCGGTAAGGAATCACAGCTCTCCCTGCATCTCCATCAGGTCCAGGCTAAAGTGTTGTCACTTTGGCGCAACCAGCCCCTGAACATTCTTTATTCCTGCTTTCCCGGCTTTGTTTTCTTGGTGACACCGCCTTCTAGCATGCCATATGTTATTCTTTATTGTCTCGTTCCCCACAGTCATTCTGCTCTGTGGGGCCAGAGTTTTAAAACTTTTTACTTTGGGGCTATGTGTGTAGTTCAGTAATAGAGCACATCTTTAACATGCACGAGCCCTGGGTTCATTCCCCAGCATCAAAAAACACAAAACCTTTTTACTTTGAAAAAATTATAGATTGACAAGAAGTTGCAAAATGACCAGGACACCCTTCAGAGCAGCCTTCCCCAGGCTCAGCGTCTTGTGTAATTACAGTACAACAGCACATCCAGGACATCTTCACTGGTACCATCCACGGGGCTTATTCAGATTTTATCAGTTATACGTGTTCATGTGTGTGTGTGGTTCTATACACTTTCATCCCTTGTGCAGCGTTTGGTAGCTCCCACCACAACAAAAATACTATACAGAACCACAGTTGTGAATGTAGCTCAGTAGTAGAGCACTCCCCTAGGATTTGTGAGGATTTGTGGTTTTGTTATCAGTATTGCAGAAATCAAAAACACAACCACACCAGCCAGGGATGGTAGCATACTCCGTAATCCTAGCACTCTTGGAGGCCATGACAAGAGGACTTCAAGTTCTAGCCCAGCCTGAGCAACTTAGCAATTTAATGACACTATCTTAAAATTTTAAAAAATTAAAAATGGGCTGGAGTCTTAGTTCAGTACAAAAGCCCTGGGGCCAACCATCAGTACTACAAAAATAAAAACAAAACACCAGAACCACATGACCATAACAAGATCAGGGGATTTTTTTTTCTTTTTGCCAGATTTGCCGACTCCTGTACCCACAACACCAAGAACCAAACCTGACACAGAGTAGGCCCTCAATATCTGTTGAATTGAAAAAGCAGTTGAACACAGTGGTGACAACACAGGCCCTGAGTGTCAACTGTGCAATATACAAGCTAACTGACCTTTGTAACAAAACTTTGCCTGTCCACGCTGTCACTCCCTTCCATTACTTATGGCATTCGTTAATACATGCGGCAAGGAATAGCCCTCAAGCTCAGAACAGGAGCTGAATTGTTCCCCCTAGTACGAAGGCCACAGAGAATGACTGTATGTGGACAGAGGGTCTTTAAAGAAGTGAGAAGTTAAAGTGAGACCTGTTAGGTGGCTGGTGTCCTGAGAAGAGCTGGTTAGGATACACAAAGCCAGTACGGGGGGTGCTGGAGCTTGGAGACAAGGCCACGTTGAGGACAGTGAGAAGCCAGCCTTCTGCAAGCCAAGGAGAGGCCTGGCGAGAAACCAACCCTGCCAATGCCTTGATCTTGAACCTCTGGCCTCTAATGTGATAAAATACACTTCTGTTGTGTAAGCCACCCAGTCTATGGCATAGACAGCTCCCCTAATCTGGGTGGGATATGTTCCAAGCTCCCAGTGGATGTCTGAAATCACAGATAGTACCAACCCCTATATTATATATACCATTTTCCCCAATCACACACTATGGCAGTACCTTTTCAGTTTGAGGAAAATGAGTGTGATTTTTTTTCCTTCTGCCAAATTTCATGGATAGATTTTTACCACAAATCTTAGCAACCTCACCATACAATTCATTTTCTTTCTTTGCTGAGTCAAAAAATTTTACCTTTTCATTCAGTTGAAGGAAGAACTTTATAGCTTCTCTTTGGTTGAGCTGAATTGCCAGCATCACAATTTTGTACTCTGGGGCCATTCTTAGGTAAAATAGAGATTCCCTGAACATAAGCCATTGTTGATCTGATAACCACCACACCTGACTCTGATCTGATTTCATTTAACATATCAGCATTTGTCTTAGTTGACTCCTTGCAGTATTTTCTTTGCTTAGCTTCCTTTGCATGGTTTCCTGTTTAGGACTGCTGCTTCAGAATCTTTTTCAGCTTGTCTCTAACTTGTCTACTTCTCAATGCTTGGATGCCCCAGACCTTAGTCATTGAAGGCCTTCTCTTTCAACCTCCCCATTCATGAACATCATATTTTCCTTCCCTTATTTTTTTCTTCTAGACACCTATAACTTTCTAACAATAGGTATTTTACTTGTTTTATTTTCTCTCTACTTGAATGTAAGCTCCATGCAAGTAAGGGTTTTGTCTGTTCACTGATATGATTCCAAAGCCTAGAACTTGTATGGCACATGGTATGTGCTGAAAAAATGTTTAGTGAATAGATGAATGAATAATGGCAGCCTGAATTGGGAGAGTGGAAGGAGACTGGACAAACAACATAATGATTGATTGGTGAGGATGGAGTCTAATGTGACCAGCAGTGCCGAATGGATAGGTAGTCGCCAACCTCTGTGAAACAGGAGTGAGCTTGAGAAGGAATTTGAGTTCAGTTTGGGACCCAAATTACTTATTGGTCATCTGGGTGCAGATATCCACTAGGCAGCTATATCTGAGATCAGGGTGGTGGTCAGGGCTGGAAATAGAGGATGGCTTTGAAGTCTGGCAATATAGAAAATACATCCTGTCCTACAGCAGCAGTGGACAGGTTATTGTGCATTTACCCATGTCTCCATAGTAGGAGCTTAATACAGGGTAGCTCATCCCATGTTTGTACCTGTCAGCATATACTTCCTAAGAATCACCAAGTATAAGCCTGTCTTTACTACCTTGCTTTTCCTAATGAGATGTGATAAAAAAAAATATGGTGTTTAGGGGCCGGGGATGTAGCTCAGCGGCAACAGTGCCTGCCTGGCAAGCACAACATTCTGAGTTTTATTCCTGGTACCAAAAATTAATAATAATATGATGTTTAATAAAAAACTATGAAAGACATTGCCATTAATCCTCCTCAAATACTCCCCCTTGCTTTGAACACACTTATCCCATCATTGTTGCTGTTTTCTAAAGCAGTTCTGCCTTTTCTTATGAGTATCTTGAGTTCTACCATCGTGGCTGCATTGACATCCTGAATTGATTCAAAACATTTACC